TGACATGATTCACTATCCTTATTTCCTGTAAGATTTTATGGTCAGTAATAAAACAAATTACCTGATTTACAAACAGGGTGGTCACAAATTTTCCTGGCTTGAAGACTTCCACAACTTTCCTGATCAGGTCATCATAGGAGGTCTGACTTAAGTTTGTTTCAAAGCTAACATAAGAAAATTCTGGTTCTGGAGTGATGTGAATAGTCCAATAAGTTCCCTTAGAGAAACAGTTTTATGTTAATAATGAAATGGGTACACTTAAATATTTAACAATTAAGCAAAACATTACTTACATCCGATTTCATTCCATTCATCGAATACCCACAAGGATTGAACAGTGTGGCATCAATGACAGAACCTGGTATCAGGTCACGAATTCCACTCTCCTGGGAAAGGAAAGACTGAATTACATACAAATTCGAAAAATACACTTATAGGCCTGGGTGGCTCAGTCGGTTAAACATCCGACTTTGGCTCAGGTCATGCTCTCAGTTTGTGAGTTTCAGCTCACATTGGGCTCTGTGCTGACAGGTCAGAGACTGGAGCCTGCTTCAGATTCTGTGTCTCCCTCTCTCTCTGCCCCTCCCCTGCTCATATGCGGTCTCTCTCTCTCAAAAATAAAAAATAAACATTAAAAGAAGAAAAAAGAAAAAAGAAAAAAGAAAAAAAGAATACACTGAGTTAAAATTATTTAGTCCTAAAGAAGAATTCCTGAAAATGCTTACACGAGTGACATCCTTTGCAGTAACACCATCTTTCATGTAGAACTGGTCCATAACTGCTGGGTCAAGCTCACTCATCAGAATTTCCAGGGTTTGATCTGGCTGACTGATTACCCGAGTCTCTGGGAAATCCAAAGTATACAAGTACCTATATAAAAGTTAAAAAAAAAAAAAAAAAAAAAAAAAAAAAAAAGTTTCTGAAAATGACAAATAGCAATTTAAAATAAATCCTATATAGACAAAAACAAAAAAACAAACAAAAAAAAAACCCCATAAAACTGTGTCCAACATACCAACAGTCAGAATTCATACGTCCCATACAATATGCTGCTCCATCTGTTAAGGGAGGAGAATAAAATAAATTTAACAGCTCCATTTCATAGGATACTTTTGCCTCCACTCCTCCAATAGCTAGGGTGATAGTGCTTCCCTCCCAAGCAGGCAGGATCTCATCATCCCATTAAAAAAAAAAAAAAAAAATCATTAGAGATATACTTCAGCTAGGGAGTTAGTCTGAGTGCTGAGGAAAGTATGGCTCACCCTCTCCCCCTAAAACTCCATTAAGGAAATGGAATTTGATCACCTGTTTCTCTATACACTCCCAAGTAAATACAAGTCATTTATGTATTATGTTCCTTCCATATTGTTGTTCCAAAGCCTCATTTAACACAGTAAATTAACTGGAAGATATTTACACTAAATTATACTCGGCACTGATACAGCCTTGTATAGTTTCATATTAGATTAAGAACAGGATAGAAATTGGACTTTCTTTTCAAATCATTGTCTGTGAGGGAGGAGGGGGGGAATCTTAAATCATGCCTGTGAATGGTTTTGTGCCAAATTAGTAAAATCATCCTAGGATATAAGTGTATTAAGGGTATTAGATAACTTTTAGTTCCCTGACCTTGAAGTTCAAAAAGGATGGCCTATAAATAAAAAGTTAGTAAATGGAAGAAAATCTTGCCAATTTGGTTGAAGTGACACTCTGATCTCACTGTTTATCATTTTTAAGCCAGTTCAATTCCTGAATAGAATGCCAAGCCCAAGTTTCTTATATGGAACAGCATCTTAGCATGGGTTTATGAAGTCACTATACCTTTTTCTGAAGGAAGAGAGCACGGCCTTCATAACCATTAAATTAGATATAAATTAGAGCAACTGGCTAGACAAAGATCATGTCTCCTTCTGGCAAGTTATCAATTCATTTTCTTCTTCCATCCTGTCAACACTGACCTTACCGTGCATATATACACTCTAGAATTTGTAATTAACTTTATTGACATATTTATCCTTAATATATATCCTTGCATACATATGCTTTCACAAATATAAAAAGATCTCTGAAAGGATATAACCTCTAAGGAAACAAGTTTCAATTCTATTTAAACTTACTTGGGAAAATTGCATTAAGAAACTCTATTTCTTCCTGGAAATTCCGGTGTGGGTACCCTTGGTGAGAAGGCTTCATGAAATTCTTACGAGAATAAAAGAAGCTCTGAAAAAGACAGATAACTTCATACACAGAATTCTATCACCTTTCCTAGTCAACTATTTTCTGCATATGCATAACAAAATCAAATCTATAAATATTTTCTCTAATGAAATTTAACATGTTTTCCCTTTAATAGGTTTAAAAGATAGGTGATCTTTTGCTGGCCAACAAACAAAAATGAAGGCCCTGGTGTCAGAGCAAGGTTTCAGACCAATATCCATGAATTACTGTCATACAGACCAACTTTATTTAAGCTGGAGAAGAGTATCAACAATGTATTAAGAATGCAGATCACATCTCTGAGTTTCTAGAAACTAAAAAATACCCAATCTATACATGATGGGTCTTAACAGCGGTAGAAACAAGGTACATTATTTCCAGAGCAGTAATTTTGGATCTGAGGTTTTAAATAGGCATGGAAACAATGATTTTTGAGAACATGTATACATTCAGTTTCAAAAAAATCAGTGACTACCCATCACAACTAAGAAGTATACAAAAATTTATTTACTAGGCATATCACAGAACCCTAACATTTGTCTAGAAAAAAGGATTAAATGTTTGATTACTTACTTGAATTGAGTCAAACCCACTGTAATCCCTAGCAAGTTTCAACAGGGGAACCAGTGCTTTCAGCAAGAGGGTGGTACCACATGTCTTCAAAATGAAACGTCTCTTGGAGACAAACATGCTACTCTCACTGCATTTGGAAAAAGTCACAATGTTATAATGACGTTTATGTATTACTGAGATACAATTCATCTACTACTGGATTATCATTTACAATCTAAAATTTGGCTATTAATTTAAAATGTGAGGATCTCAAGGAAGCATAAAATATACTACAGTATCCCGCCCTTTCTAGCATACAAAAATGAGTTTAAGGTTCTAGAACCCCACAAACAGGTCTTGAATCAGGTACAAAGCATATCAGCTCATTATACAAATCCCCTTTTACTGTTAAACTTTCCTCCTCACCTCACCTATCTTAGGATATTATTTACTAAATTCATGTCTCACCTTGTACTACCCACTCTCACACATATTTCTGTAACCATCTCATTATTTCTTTCACTAGATAATAAGCTCCATGAAGAAAAGGAATGTTTGTTTTTACTCACCATTATATTCTTTTTTTTTTTTTAAATTTTTTTTTTTCAACGTTTA